CTTCTTGATAACAAAGAGCTTGACAGAATATCAAGCCAGATGAGCAGAGCTGCTTTCAGAGTATGATTTCTATATTCAATACTATTCAGATCAGCTTAACTCTGTCAATACATTATCTAAACAGCCTGATTATAATATTGTTGATGTAGAGAAGAATTCTATAAAAGAATCTCTGTTATCACTGCAGAAGAAGCTGACTGCAGAGAGTTGAGATTCTCTAAAGCTTGAGAATAGTGCTGAAGAGGCAGCTGTGTGACTTAGTATAGAAGATGAAAGAGAATCTGAGTCTCTGTGAGAGACTGATATTAAAGATTATAAGCTTCTTATATCACATCTTACAATCATTGAATTAGTAAAGAATAAAACAGTCTACAATCTTTCAATCTGACTACTTTTGAAATTCATTAATAAGTTACAGAAGAGAGATATCTCTACTGCAGCTTGAATTCAAAAGTTGAAGAAGAAAGAGTTCAGTTTGAACTTGAAAGAGACAGGCTCTGAGTGAGATGATACTGTTAAGAAATCAAGTCACTGATAACTAGAAGAATATGAACTTCTACTGCTGAATGATTCAGTCTTCATCTTTCATAGCAGAGTGATGTGTTAGAAGTTATTGAGAATTCATTATAATAATCTTCATGCAGAGCACTTCAGGTTAGAGAAGACTGAGAAGCTTCTAAAACATAAATATACTTAAGACAAGCTTCAGACAGATGTCAAAGAGTATATTAAAACTTACAATATCTATTAAAGAATAAAGATTCTGTGATATAAGTAATACAGTGAGTTGACATCACTGCCTGTTTCAAAGAGCTCATAACAGAATCTATTAATGAATTTCATAGTTAATCTGCTGAAGTTGATAAGAGTCAAAGAATATGACTTGATTTTGATTATTATTAACTGCTTCACAAAGATAGTCAGATATATCTCTATTTATAAAAAGATTAAAGCCTCTGAATTGACTGATCTATTTTTAGATATCATTATTCATGATCACAGTGCTCTGAAATTGTTAATAATAGATCAAGAATTCCTCTTCATCAGCAAATACTGATCAGCTTTTTACTATTATCTTATAATAAGGCATCTTCTCAGTACTGCATTTTATTCACAGACTGATGATCAGACTGAACATCAGAATCAGACACTAGAATAGTATCTTTAAGTCTTCTATTTATATTATCAGAATGATTGACTCAAACATCTTCTGATCACTGAATTTGTATATAACAATGCAAAGAATGCAATCTTAAAGATATCTTCTTTCTATGCTTATTATAAATATAATTCTTCATTATTCAGTGATGTTGCAGATAATATTTCAAAGAGAGAAATAGACAGTCAGAATATCAGACAGATACAGAGAATAAAGTATTTCTCAGTATCAGAAGTAAAAGCAAGATTGAAACTTTTGAATAAAATTTATAAGAAGATGATGAAAAGCATTCATCACATTCAGAAGTGACAGATGAAATACTATAATTAAAAACATCTTTCAATGAAGTTCTCAATAGAAGATTAAGTACTACTTTCAGCAAAGAACATCAAGATAATAAGACTGTGTAAAAAGCTCAGTGAGTAGTGACTAGAACCTTTCTCAGTAATAAGAATGATGAGTAAGCAGATATATAAGTTGAAATTACTCACAGAATTGAAATCAATTCATTCTATTTTTCATATTTTCTATTTAAAGCTCTATAAGCAACACTCTGAGACAGAGCTGTCTCAGTCAGATAATATTGAGATTGAGAGTGATACTGAATATCTTATGAAGAAAATATTGAATAAGTGAACATATTACAGCAAGCTTCAATATCTTATTAAATGAGAAGATTATTTATCATCAGAGAATTCATGAAAACTGCTTGAGCATTTGAAAAATACTGAGAAAGAGATTGCAATCTATGAGATGACTAGTAGAGACTGTCTTATTACATGTCAGAGACATTAAGTAAGAAATACTGCTTAAGACTTCTCATTTTTTCTAAAGGATTTTTTAGAGATAATCTTACAGTGATGAGTCAGTGTCTTGTAGACTCTGTAGCACTCTTCTCTTATTTTCTCTCAAAGAGTTTTTTAGAAGTTTAATAAGACTACACAAGTGTAAAATTTCTGAAGCAGTTAATAAGAAAAAGAAAGAGATATTTGAAATCAATAAAAAGATTAATATTAATTAACTCACAGGCTGCTGCTAATCTAATGAGACTGCAGCCTACTGAAAAAGTAAAAAGAAGAAATCTCAGAATCTACTTATCAACAATCATACTCTCATCAAACTCATTCTTCACTGTTGAAGTCTTCAGCATCAGTATTTTTACCTGCTGAGAAGTTAGCACTGCAGCACTGCAGAAGAACATGAGAAATGTATAAAATATTAACTTATTAACTTACAAAGCATCTCAGTCATCTGCTTCAGTTGAAGTGAAATTCTTTTTAATCAGTAATTAATCTCTATGACACTTTTAATAGTAATACTGACTGATTTCTTCTTAAGATCAGTTATTCTGAGATGTTTTTTCATCTTAAAGATTCATACTTTCACCTTCTTTTGCAGATAAGCAAGAGAGACCTTCTCAGTCTTGATAGAATTCATCAATACTTAAAGCTCTGAGATTCTCACTCTGTACTGCTTGAGTATCTGAGCTTCTTGTCAGAGCTGACACAATGTCTTCTTATAAAGTAGATAATATTTACAGAGAGATAGAAGTCATTGTTACAGATATAACAGAAATAATAAGAGTGAGAGAAGAAGCAGATACACAGAATTTCTCTCTTCTTCAGCTGCTTAATGCAGTGCAGATAAGTAGCAGTATTAATCAGAGATCACACTGAAGCCTTCTCACAGAGAGAAGATAAAGAAACTGTAGAACTCTGCAGACTCAACTCAGCAGTATTCTGAGCAGAACTTAAGCATGCTGTGAAAGAAGAACTATAAATTGAGCTTCTCAGAGTTACTATCTCTGAAATCAAGCTCTCTTCAGATTTCTCTCTGAATGATTATATAGAGTCATATATTACTGTATTGACTGAGAGAGAGAACAGTATTACAATGACAGTGAGAGAGACAGAGAACAGACTGAATATGAATAAACTAACTAGTAGAAGAGATGACATCTCACTGCAAGATATAGTAACTATCACTGCAGCTGTAAAAGAAGTAGAAGAAGAAGAAGATGTGATAATAAGAGCAGTGCTCTCACAGCTCATTGACACTGCTGTCTTCATCTTCAATCTGGCTTTCTTAACAGTCACAGAGACTGCTATCACATCACAAAGACATTTATTACTCACTAGAAAACATCAGAATAAGTTCTTGATTATTCTTCAAGAATAATACTCTCATGCACTCACTGTTGCAATTGAGAGAAGAGAAAGAAAAATGTTTCATAAGAAAAAGAATCTTTTCAAAAAATCCTACTACTACTGTTAGCTTTGTCTCTAAAATATATCACTTTTACAGGGAATTTCATATATAGAATGAAATATATTAAGAGATCTGTAAGTCACTTATTAACTACATTTTTCACATTTTAAATCAATATATAAGAAACTTACTTATCATACATTTAATTTGAATAATGATAAAAAAAGAAAGATCTACACAGTCAGTAGAAAAACTCATCTATTTCTTTGTATTATATACAGTACATATGCTGTCAATCAGTTAGTAACTGTTGCTATATAATAAAGATAATTTCTAATTCAGTAATCTTAAGAGTATAGAGACTATACTCTTAAAGAAAAGAGTATTATCATACTTTCAATCATATCAAGACTCTGTTACAGTTTCACACAGCTTATCACTTTTATACAGATGATTTTATCTCATCTGAATCAGTTTTCAATCACTTTATAATATTATTCAGATATATTATAGAAAGATCTGATTAATAAATATAAGAATCTTACTTCTATACAAGATCAGCAGATTACTCTTTCTTAGCAATGAGATATTACTGAGATATCACTTCAGTTATTCTCACTCATGAAATGAGAGAAGAGTATTCATTCATTGTCTATATAGAATAGCTAGATACTGACTCTTCATTAAAGAAGTCAGCAATTCATTTTACTTCTACAGAAATATACACAAGAGTTACTGTGTATCTTATACAATCTTCTTAGTATACTAAGTATCATATCTGTGATATTCTCATAATAACTCTGTAGTCTACAAGCTCACTATTCAAGCAAGATAGTCAAGCTCACTTATATGACTTTTTAAACAACTACTCTTATGTGTCACTGCTGACTAGTCACTGCTTTGATTTCATCATATTATAGTTAGTAACACAGAAAGAATTTACTCAGTACTCTGAGTATGAAAGAGAATTTCAACTCAACTTCATAGATTCATCATTTCTGTATTATTTTAAAATCTTAAAATAATAATGTTCTCACAATGTATCTGATTTTTATATTCATATCTCAAGTTTTTAAAATAGAAGTATCATCTCAAAGTTGATCAGTGTGTTTTTGAACACAGGAATTTTAATTCAATTTCTTATACAAAAAAAAGCTCTTAGAAATTCTGAGATCAAAAAATATAATCATTTTCAAGAGTATACATCTATCTTAAATATAGATTTTTTTAAAATATTAAAGAAATATTTCTATTCTTCTTCTCTTTAGTTATAAGCTAAGGTGATTTTCAAATCTTAAAGATATGTGGGTATATATATAGTAATAGAAAGTCAAAGTTGAAGAATCTGAAAAATCCTTGTAAATCTCAGGAATCTTCATTGAAGATGGAATCATTTCTTCTCAGACCCTCTGGTGAGGATTGCTCTGAGCACATGACTTGTATCAAAAGTAGGTTAGTGTCATGCCAGATTAACTAGTTAATAATAATGCTGCAACCCGTTCAAACCGAGCCAGAGGGTCTGAGCCCGCTGAGATAAGAAACGGACGACAACTCCCAAAGAGCTTGTCGCTTCGTCCAACAACCGCCTGCCAGCAAATAACTAGTTTTTGCGAAGTCTCTGGTATGCTGCTTGTTAGGCACCGTTTGTGCCCGACGGATCGACTAGGATGCATGCTTCTGCATCCAAAAAGCCAATTATTAATGGAAACTCCCCTGGCGTCATCCGTCGGGTCGCCTCACGAGTCAATGAGCCAAGGTGCTCGTTCGCTGCAAAGTAGCATGAAGTCCGCTCCTGAATGGCTGGTTTGGGGCTTTCAGTTCCCATCGCCAAAAAAATATCTCGAGTTTTGACCGGTTTCTTCAAGGTTGAAAGCCCCCAGGGCGCGACGCGACGTAGATGCCAAAGGGTAATGTTGATACGGTGGGTGTGACCATGTTTCGTGTCGATTTCATTGGCGCTTGCAAAACACGCCAACCGTTTCCTATCAACCAGTGATTGTTCGCGCCCAGGGATGATCAGAAACAAATAACCACGTCTTGCGGTTGGAATATTCAGGTCACTCTGACCAAGACCACAGGGAGGAGTATCAATCGCCGTTTCTCCAACCGTCTCCTTTGAATTCTCAGTGCCATATCGAATTGTTCTCGGCATTTCGGGCTTTTTTGGAACATTATGACGTATATTTGCATTCCAACCTGGCTGTTCATAAAGCCATTTCACATTCCAAGCCAGACGCTGGCCGCCACTGCCTATCAATCGCTTATGAACAACTCATCGCGGGGAAAACTGACGACTGAGAACTTTCCAAAACAAATTGCAAAGCTGGCTTGTCCCTGACGATTTGTCTTTTCGAGCCTAATTACCAATCAAGTTGAACCGCCTAGTCGGTTTGGTATCAACTGCTCCGAATTCTGAACCGGAAACCAGCGATTTCCATCCCACAACATCTGAGTTCTAACACCAATTTTGCCCAACTTCTAGGTATGTTTTAATCAAGGGGTTGAGGGCAGCGAAATACAGGTTGTAGAAGGAAAGCTATTGGTGGGAAGCTGCACTTTAACTCCATCATTTCAACTCCCTGAAAGTTAAAAAGGCAGTTCTTTACCATCCAAGGTTGGAGGGAGTGAGGCGCAGAATAGGGTCAAGTTGGGTATAAATAAGCTACCCTCCCAACCGAAACTCCGCCTGTCATTTGTCAGTCCCGTCGTGTTCAGACGCGATTGGCCTCCGCCTTGCCCGTCTTCCCGACTCTGGGTCAAACCTTTTAATGTCCCCATCCCGTTCCTGAGCTTACCATTTCGTAAACTTAGGAACTGAATCCAAAATTGTTCCCAGATGATGGAGGCCCCAACTGAGATTGATCACTATCAGGTCCTTGGTCTCACACAATCCGCGACGGCGGCAGAGATCAAAAAAGCGTACCGAAAAAAATTACTGACGACCCACCCGGACAAGAACCCAGGGATATCAGCGGATGAATTCTGCAAGGTTTGTTCATTCATATCCCTTGTATCTATGATCATACAATATATCAGAGAATACTTGATTAACTTGGCCCCTTTCCAGGTGCAAGAGGCATTCGAAACGCTCCAAGATGACGAAAAACGAAGAGTTTTCGACTTAATGTATGACGACATTCGGGAGCAGTGGGACCTGTATGCGCGGGGGGAAACTCGGGGACGAAAGGAAAAGAAAGCCCCAAGCAACCCACCCTACTCACGACCAGCGCCCGCACCAGAGAAGCATTTTTCAGCACGAAGAACAAGTCCTGCACCGCCAACGTTCCGGGTTCACTCCCCAGAACCACGCATGCGAACTAAAGCGCGCAGATCGCACTCACCCCCTCAAAGAACCAAAACACGCTCACCATCCCCCCAACTACGACATTCTTACAAGTGTCACCGCCCATGGAAATCAGATTTGCCATCGCAGAAACGCGACCCATCACCGAAGCGACACACATACTCACAATCGGCCCCGTCGTATAGTTACAAAACTATCAGACCCCGATGGGCCGCTAATGACGAAGTTCCCGTCATAACACCTAAATCACACCGACGCGATGAACAACCAGAGTATGAAGAAGTCCACCAACGCAGCCCGCGTAGCCCGCGTAGCCCGCATACCCCAACCCGAACCCAAACAACCCCAGCCACGCTCTACGCCGAAACCTACCCGGATTACTACGTGCAGCAAGCGACAGCTACAGCAGTACTAATTGAGCCGCGTAGTCAGTATACGCCATATAAAACTATAACACCCGTCACAGTTGAAAGACCAAGACCCGCGCCATCGCCATACGATACCGTGACAATCCAACCGTCATACAGCTATGCATACTGCCCACAATACGAATACCCAGTGCTCGTAGGCAGTAGCCGACGATTAGGGAGCGTCGTTGATATGCGATATGCCCCAACACTGAGGATGCAGCGCTTTAATTCTAACGTTTTCTAAGTGTGAGAAATTTTCCGGTATACCGTATTTGCGGTGTTTTAGTGGCGTTGGAGGTTGTTCCGTTCCACAACCGCTAGCATAACGGGGGTGCCATGAGGTCTTAATACCACATCACCTTTTGCGGGCCCTTTTCGGTGTCTGATCGCGAGGACTATTGATCGGGGGGATAACGGGCTGGCATGTGGTTATGATTCAGGGCTCATGGGCAAATGATACGAAAAAACAGACACATTGATAACGACAGGAAACAGCGAGATGAATTTTCATCATTTACTATATTTTGCACTTATATTTGACCTTTGGCACTATGATACGATACGCGCTTGTGTAACAGGGCTATTGGCTGGAGGATATTCTTTGGTCTTCGTTCCCCTCTTTTTTTTTCCACTCTATTACTTCATTCTCCATTCCTCCTTTATACCACTCTCGAGTCTTCTTCTTCTTCTTATGCCACATTTACGGACACCTTTTTACCTTTAGTGCTTTTATCTTCTGTAATCTCCCCTTCATTCTACTTCTTTGATATCCTTTCTTATTTTCTGGGGATTTGGGTTGGGGGCTGGGACTGGGTTGGTGATAGGATTTTGGTAGAGGGTTTCTACTGGTCGGTTCCTGGGGAATTTCATTATTACAATTAGTAGCCTTGTTATGATTTAAAGATCATTACGGTGCAATCCTGTGATTTAAAGATAGCAGCTATACACAAGTCATTTACATAATAGGATATATATACTGCTACCGCCGCGTTTCTGGTCATTATTGGCATTTCCTTGTTATTTCCAAAATATTAAAATCAGCAAATCACTCAGTTACGCACAGTAATTCAAGAATCAATTCCACTCAATGGCTTGTGGCTAGTTAAAGATTTGGTGCTTGACCGTATCAGAAGGCATTTCCTAAAGCGGGAAAGCATGTCCTTCCTAAATACTTAAATAGGTCACGCCAAGGTTGGAGTGCTTTCGACGACATCTCATGCTTTCTGATATTCAATCACAATCACATCGACCATCAACCATCAACAACTCAAGACGCCTTATGAATACAAGTAAAAGCCGACCATGGGATCCAAGACACCTAACGATCATCGTCGAGGCCCAAATGGTATGGGAAAGAAATTATTAAGTTGGTCCCTTTTTGTAGCAACCCCTTCTGACGCCGTGAGTAGAGTCATCGCCCCACGCTGCAATCGATACCATCAATCCTCCGAAGCATGCCGCAGCGAGTGGACTCCTTCATGGTCCACTCGAAGGGGAAACCGAAGACGGGGAGGATGAGGATGACGATAAAACTGGAGCCGACCTAAAATCTGTTGGTCAGCTCAACAATAGTAGTAAGCCAACCTGAAGTAGTATGTATTTACTTGATACTAAATCACGAGAAGCCAAGAAGAAAAACAAGAGAAAGAAGAACAAAAAGAAGAAGAAAACGCTACTGGGCGGGCTACAGACGACTCCGCCTAGGGTTGCATTGTCCAGCATCTTTTACGACCAGCGATACCCAGAGGCTGAGATTGTCGGATACACCACGAACAATGACAATCTTCAACGGATCACCGCTGAAGAATTTCGTCACCTATGCGTCGTAAACGACATGGACGATGAGTTCTTGAATGATTATCGCAAAGCTGCCGAAGTCCATCGCCAGGTCCGCCAGTATGTGCAGACAATCACAAAGCCTGGCATTGCCATGAGCCAGCTTGCCCAAGAAATTGAGGACGGTGTTCGTGCACTGACCGACCACCAAGGTATTGAGACCGGAGACGCTCTCAAAGCCGGCATGGCATTTCCAACCGGGCTCTGTTTGAATAACATAGGAGCTCACTGGACTCCCAATCCTGGCGCAAAGGAGGTCATCCTGCAGTACGACGATGTTCTCAAAGTAGATTTTGGAGTTCATGTCAATGGCAGGATTGTCGATAGTGCCTACACCATGGCTTTCAATCCAGTCTATGATGATTTGCTTACGGCTGTCAAGGCAGCGACCAATACCGGTCTTAAGGTATGAAAACGAAAGTCTGCCCTGTACCACATTGCAATGCTAAATAAACTCCTAGGAAGCTGGCATTGATGCTCGGATTGATTGCATCAGCGAGGCAATCCAAGAAGTAATGGAGAGCTATGAGGTTGAGCTCAACCGAAAAATCATCCCCGTCAAAGCGGTTCGAAACATAACAGGTCATAACATCCTTCGCTATAAGATCCACGGCGATAAACAAGTTCCCTTCGTGAAGACACATACCAACCAACGCATGGAAGAAGGCGACATCTTTGCAATTGAAACGTTCGGTAGCACTGGCAAAGCGTACCTCGACGACGACATAGGAATTTACGGCTATTTTTGTGATGAGCATGCTAGCGCTGCTGGACTTCATCACTCCTCCGCCAAATCGCTACTGAAGACCATCAAGGACAATTTCGGGACCCTGGTCTTCTCCAGACGCTACCTTGAACGGTTAGGAGTAAAGAGCTATCACCTCGGCATGAGATCACTCGTCTCGAAAGGCATTGTCCAATCATATGCGCCGCTTGTGGATGTTCCTGGGTCCTATGTCGCCCAGTTTGAGCACGTAAGTGGATTCCGTGTCTTGAACACCTTGAGATATACTAACACAACCTTTTCAAATAGACTGTTTTGCTCAGGCCAAATTGCAAAGAAGTGATCTCTAGAGGAGATGACTACTAAAGAGAAATGTGGGAGCAATGCCTCTGTTTTAATTTTCGGTTTTCCTTGACTTCAATAGTGATGGAAATATGACCTTGCCAAATGATTCAACATCCTTTTCTTACAACATCTATGACGCTCTTTAACCGCAAGAGATGAGCAATTCAATTTACTAGCGTATGAAACTCTGCTCTTTCGTTCTATCGCTTCCATTCGTCCATGTTGCATCTACCCGCTCCGATGGGAAGCTGTCTAGTAGAGACAAAACATTGCTAAGCATGTAAATATAACTGCAATGCTCCCCAACGCCTGGCCCCCGCTGAGAACACTTGATCAACGCACCGAATAGCCTCTCGGTATTGTTAAAAGAGAGACGTTCATACACAGAAAACTGCACTCAGCTGGGCGTTTGAAGCACCAAGCTTGTCCTTCGCCAATATCCCTATTGCGTAGTCTTCCATCTCTACTCAAGCCCTCCATCGAGGAGTAAGTCCGAAAAATCTTGCTCCAGTTGCCAATGCCCAACGCACTTCAAAATTAAACATTTTTTACTACTTAGTTAATCGAAGTTCTGAAAGACCTCACGCAGAATCTAGGCTGTGATATCCGGACCTTTCAGGGGACTCCTCGGTCCGCCAATCTACGCACAACATCATTCTTCTCTGATCACTCCAATCATTAAAGACAACTGTCCCGAAAAGTGATGCGCACGAACCACTGGCTTACATTCTACTTCCACTTCCACATGCCCTTTGAACGATTTTGCGGGATTTTGGAGCTTATGTGCTAAAATAACTCAATTTCCCGTTAGATAATGAAGATATCTGTATATACCCCAAGCTACCCAAGAAATTTCCCGAGCACTGTAGAGCACAGCAGCTATCTGTGATTTGGTTTTTGTAAGCTGAATGAGCCTCCAATGCTGGCGTGAAGTAAATCTCCGATCGTTCCTTTCATGCTTCCGTATTCGAAAGGAAAAGAGTAATAAAAGGAAAATGGCCTGAATAGGCTATGATGGCATCTAACTATGCAATGATGGGCGAGAATCTATCCGCCGTTTGCACCAACAACGTCCACTGCTCAATCAGTAGCAGTCGTTGGTATTGGAATCGCGCCTCCTGGAGAATTTTCGTTCCGCGCAGTTAAGACCTCGACGCCCGTGTCCGTAACAAGCAGAGTGTGTTCTACAGCGCATGTTAGCAGTGTTTGGCGACCCATAAGAGCCTAGGAGAAACAAGAGGCAAATGACAACAGCCAGAACGAAAACGAAAGCCTCTTGTGGTCAATGTGCAAGCACAACATGTTTATACCCACCGAATTGAGCAGTACGCCCACCATCAACAGTAACATTCGTCCAATTATCCGGCCAATAAACCTCCCTTCCCCTCCCCAGCGCGAGGATAGGTTCAAGCGTAAAAGCCATGCCGGCCTTACAAACCCCAACCGCCTTGCTCTTGGCATAATGCGGGATCCACGGCGGGGGGTGGAAGTTGGTGTTGATGCCATGACCGCCCCATGTCGCCATGATACTGCAGTTTCTGGCCTTTGCATGCATCTCGATGACGTTGCCAAAGTCTCGGATGGGCGTGCCCGGCTTCACGAGCTTGATAGCTTCGTTCAAGCATTCGCGAGCCGTTTCGACGACCCGGACTGAGTCCGGGTCTGCCTTGGCTCGCTCGCCGATGTAATATGTCTCATTTACGTCGGCGTGGTAGCCCTCGTGGTATAAGGAGATGTCAAGATTGAGGATGTCGCCATCGAGGAGGATTCGTTGGTCGGGGATTCCGTGGCAGACGACTTCGTTTGGAGAGGTGCATAGGGACTTTGGGAATTTGTTATAGTTCAAGGGGGATGGATATGACTTATTTTGAGATAGTTAGGAAGGGGTTAAAATATTAATAAGAATTCCATCGAGTCATCCCTTTTTTTTTTTTTTTTTTTTTTTTTTTAATAAATGAGACAAGGAGTTCGTGCTTACATTCCGTTCTATACAAGCTCTGTGACAAATTTCGTCAAGATAATCTGTGGTAACACCCGGCTTGAGCTCGGCAGCGACAACATCCAGTACCTCTCGAGCCAGTCTACAAACCATACGCATTGCTTCCTGACCCCTGGCGTCCAGGGTGTCAATTTTCATCCTATTCAAACGCCGCTCGCTCTTGGGTATACCGGTCTCAGCATAGTCGGGCCGTGCGATTGATTGGGGAACAGGGCGCTTCGCAGAGAGCGGGTAGAAGGGCCGAACAGAGCCCGTGAACGAATATGTCGGGAAAGGATTGTATAAGCCGGTAACTGGATCTGGCTGAGGGGTGATTTTGTGTACAGATTTATGTTGGTTCTACACTCACGTCAACGAGAATTGAGGTGAGGTTTATTTTCTCCAAATCAGCCTCTCAAATCCTTTACTATCCGCTGTCAACGAACCCAGTTCTTCTTGAAGCAAACTTGGGAACAGAAGTAACTGCCTTTTATCGCTAGCTTCCGACATGTTGGGCATTGAAGAGCTCCAGCGTCATTTCCACAGTCTAAGCCAAGGCACTTCCACTTCCTGGATGGTTGTAGGTCTGCTAGGCTGTCGGCCATCATACCAGGCAAGGCTCTGGGCCCTTGTAAGTCGGAGGGACACACGGCAAATAGCCAGATCAGATCGCAGAGGGTGGAAACCGTAAAGAAAAGCACGTATCTCGCCGCCAATATTGTGTTTAGTCAAATTCAGCCTCGGGTTTCTGATAGTGTTCTGGCAGCCCCGTTGAATCGTTGAATTGCGCAGTGTTGTGCGTAAGACCACGAATGATTAGTTACTACTTAAATCCGTTGCCAAACCATGCTACATAGGATCAGGCATAGTGCACACCATCAATGCGGGTTTCACCGAATGGCGACTCAGCTCCATCCGGCGACAAAAGATGCTATTTCTATTTCTATGCTAAATCACCGGAGAAGGGCTTTCTAAAAATAGCCACGAGGGCGACGAGACAGACGGCGCGCCGCACAGATCTTGTCAGTTAAACTGTCTTGGCCTAAAAAATCACTTATTAGTTAGTTATCTCGATATTTCACTTCTTCTCGCATAACTTACGTAGATGAATCGCTCTTTGCCGCGTTGGCACTTAACGGCGACAAATGACGACGACGAAAACGACGACGACGAAGACGACCATGCGGGTTACACTGGAGAGCGCCCATATTTTAGAAAGAGAATGTATTGATTTCTCCGCTAATGCGCTGCAGCGGGGCAGGGCTGCGCAGAGTCTTCAACAGTCGTGCACCGGTCAAACGGCCCCGGCGACTCAGCCCGTACCACCCCAGGAGATAAATTTGTTGGCATTCCAAGGTTCTTTCAGCTGCCTGGGACAACATGGTGCAGGCCAAGCAAGCCGGTGTTATTGCTAGGGGTGAAGTGCACAACACCTGACAGTTAGGAAACGCCCTCACTACGGAGTAGTTGTTAAGGTTGAGAGAGCCCTCGGCAAAGAGGCCAGTGAGTTGAATAGAGGCAGCTCGTAGATACCTAGGTAAGGAAGATCAAAGGCCCAAGACACTATATAAAGGTCACAAAATATAATAAGGATAATAATAAAGATATCATAGATATATATATATATATATATATATATATATCAGCAATTGTCGTGACGAGGCCGGAAGTACCTTCACACCGGAGAATGGGGCGGAGGTACATACACGGCGCTAGCATTGGTTAGGATTGATTAGGCAAGGATTCTGCCGCACCATTCCCGTATCCAGACTAGCGTCCTCGCCACCGCTTTCCCTTTACGGGCAGGGTCTAGCCCCTTTTGGAAATAAACAACCTCACCAACGACGACTTCATCCAAAACCTCATCGTCAACGCCAACATCAACAACCACAGCAATGCAATAATAATAATAATAATGGCTATACGAATGCCTGTCCCTTTAGTCTATATCTAGTCCTAGCATCCTCATTGTCTGCTTGGCTCTGCTATACGAGCTGGAGCGGTGTTATCGATGTAATCGGTTATCCCAACCTCCTTTTTCTTTTTTTTTTCTTTTTTTTCTTTTTTTTTTTTTACCTTTTAACTTTCGGCTTGCCTTTGCCTAGCATGGAAATCCCTGCCTGTAAGCCACAGTCAAGCTCTCGTCCACGTTTCGTTCTCTATCCCTCTTAAATTGTGCTTATTATCCTTTTCCACGACTTATATTTTACTGGTCCAGCCTGTGAGTCTTTTCCGCTTTCCACGGTTCGGTTTACCGAATACTGGCTCGTCCAAGCTCTCTGATGAAACTTTTTCCTACAGCTAGCAGAGAAGTGTCAGGCCCTCCCACTTTTTTCTTTTTCTTCTCCATTTTTACCAAAATTTCATTATTTCATCCTCCCCACAGCATACGATCACTGCAGAAACACAACAACCGGACCTATATGTGAATGATTATAAATAAAAGACGTCCCTACAGCGTAAACATCCCATATAAAATCCGGAACCAAGCCCTTCTACAACCTCTTACAACCTCGAGGTCCAGAAAATCCTCCGCTGCTTATTCCGCGGTCTCTAACGAGCCCTCCCCAACCAAAATCCGCGCGGCGCAAGCAGCTAAACGTCGCGCGCCCCAAGAAAGCCTAAGAGGCGGTTGTGGCTCCATGCCTAGCCTCCACTATCTCAGCCATTCAAATCCATTATTCCCAGCCAACCAGTTCTCCCCGATAACAATGTCGTCCGGCTTCTGCACATCTTAAGCCCCAATTCTGCGTCTTCCCTGTCGTCCTATTCCAGTTAGCTCTTGGGCTGGAGAGCCCGTCGCTCCTTTAGTTTCCCCCGGTTCCAAAACGCCTCCGCTGCATACGCATTTAATTCTCTTTCTCTCTTTTTTTTCGCCCTTTCACCCAACGAGATCGAGTGTCCATTTCAACCCCCATTTCTATTCGTCCACTCCTTTGATTTTATTTTATTCATTTTATTTTAAACGCATTTTAGCTTCCAAGTTTCCCTGATCCCCCTGAAAGTACCCGTCACACGTTCGTTCTTGGCCTTGCCCTCAATCTTCTTCTCCTCGATTGTGCAAACAAAACTCGTCACCATTCCCTGGGGATCATTCAATCCTTCTACGCTCCTTTCTCATCTACCTTACCTTTCATAAAATTTCATTTCCTCTGGCCTGCGCGCCCCTTCCCTTCCTTCTCTTTTTTTCGTGATCCTAGATTTCATATCTTGTGGCCCTCCTCGAAACTACTCGCCATCCCCTCCAGCGAACGATCCCATTCCGTTTTTAGTACCGATCTAAAAGAAGCGAACAGGAGTCTAGCGTCGTTCTTCCTCACGATACCAAACCTCTCCTCTTCACTTCAACAACAACGTCCCCTGGCCTCCTCCCAACCGCAGCTTCAACAGAATTTCTCACCTGCATGAAGAGACAATTCTGTCAATTGGACCAGCCCCTCGCTTCTCCACGCCTCAGCCAAATTGCTATATTTCTTGCTTCTACAAACCCCCTTCTCTTGCTTGACTTCTGGGGGGAAGAAATCTAGCTTTTTCGCTCCCCTTCTCCTCTGTTTTGCGCACTCTCCTAGACTCTAACCCACCTCCTTAGCTAGGTGGTGTTGAAAAACTCAAAAACCTCAACAATGCGGAAAGGCTATCTCATATTTATCATCGTCAATTTCCTCATCGTCGCGTTCCTCGTGCGCAGCGTATTTACGCTCCTGACCCTTCTAATCGAAGATGCCTCGGCTGATGCAATTCGACGTTCGGACCTACCTTCACCCAATTCGAACTTAATCGAGTCCCGTCCACAGATTATTCCCAAGATCATCCATCAGACATATAAGAATACCTCAATTCCTGCTGTGTGGCAGGGTGCTCAGCAGAGCTGCATCAGTATACATACTGATTATGAGTACAAGGTGCGTTTTGTTTGAAAAAATAACAAAGGAGAAATAGGTTCCGCATATGGTGCGACTCCTTGTCGTTGGCTGGGAGCCGGCATACAATGCAATTGTCCACAAGGTTCCAACTTTGCTTGGGGAAAGGAAATGGAGAAAAGCCAATTGAGGCTAACGAGGAAACTATTAGCTTTGGACGGACGAGAAATCGAGAGAATTTATCGCGAGCGAATATCCTTGGTTCCTAGAAACTTTCGATAACTACCCGCATAACATTCAACGCGCTGACGCCATTCGATACTTTGTGCTGGCACATTATGGTGGCACTTACATTGATCTAGACGATGTATGTTTGTTTGGATTTATTTGTCCTCCCTTCCGTTTTGTTGCTCCTGCAGGGAAGAAATGCAACCTGCACCCAGGTGTTTCTAACTAATTCAATGCTTTTTTATACTACAGGGTTGCAACCGTCGACTGGATCCCCTCCTCTCCTATGGTGCCTGGGTCCGTCGCACAGCGCCCACGGGCATCTCCAACGACGCTATGGGGGCTATCCCCCAGCACCCCTTCTTCCTCCGTGTCCTCGACTCACTACAAGCGTATAACAAGAACTGGGCGCTACCCTACATCACTGTCATGTATTCGACTGGCCCACTCTTCCTCTCAGTCATCTGGAAAGAATACATGCTCTCCGAGCCCGCCATGGCCGATCGCGTACGCATCCTCATGCCAGACGAGTATAATCGGCACTCATGGAGCTTCTTTACACATCACCAGGGCAGCAGTTGGCATGGCAGAGATGCTAGGTTAATATTCTGGGTGCGTAGAGAAACTCTCGCTATACTCCTCCCCCTTTTTATTGTTTTCAGCGTACACTAACACCAAACCAATCTAGATGGGCGGTCACTGGATGCTTCTAACGGCGCTCGGTTTCCTCCTTGCCGGTGTATTCGGCTTCTGTCTCTGGTGGGCCTACGGCCGCCTCCTCTTCTACACATCCCGCTGCTTTCGCTACTCCCCACTCTCCCGACGACCACCGCCACCGCCACCCCACCCACCGATCCCGCAACGCTCCCCATCGTTCTCACCCTCTCGTCGGCACGGCAACCGGTTATTCCAAGGTTGGCTGCGCCGGCAAAGCCCCGCAAAGCGACGTGGTGACGAGGAAACTGGCCGGTATGCGGATACCGCTTATGAACTTCTCGGCGGGCGCAAGAGCAGTTTCCGGGATGAATGAATAATTTAAAACAAAGAATGCGAATTGAAATAGAACGGGGCGGAGCGGGGGGCGTTTTTTATTAAGCCATCTATTTTTTTCCTCCTCCTTACCCTATCTACTCTTTCACCCAATATAGTAAGCGATCTACCTACCACCAACCCCCTTAATAATTATTTGTATATGTATGCATTATATCCTGTGTGTATTGTGCGAGGGCCTCATTCATGGCCAAAACACGCAGGACAAGAGAAAGCGAGAAATTTCCAGGAAAGCGATTTTGTTTATGTTTTCTTTTAATCAAGTTTCCAACGGGGAGTTGAAGAGCGGGTGGAAAGGGAGGGAAGGGGGAGGGAAGAAGAACCTGTCCCGCCCACTGGTCCGTCCTTTGTTCTCCGTGTCGTCGATTTGCCTTCGTTTTTCCTTCGTGATAGGACGGGCGTACACACATCTTTTGTTTACCAACCTAATGCGCATATATCCCGGTGTTGTGGGTTTTCATCGTCCTATAATTTTGCTCCAATTTGTTAGGAAGTTTTACGGTGTTCATTTATCGGAGTTGCTATTTGGTTTGGCAACTTAGTGTGTTAATTTTTAATATTTTTGCTTCTTCGCTCTTCTTCGTTGTGAATGTTGTACTTATTTTTTTTCTCCGTTCTTATCAACTCTTTTGTTTTGAGGGTTCGTTTCATCTAGTCTAGAAATTGGAGTTGTTTTTGCTGGGGCATATATATATATATATATATATATATACTGCTCGTTCTATGTCCTCTCGAGAGGGAAGAGAGGGCTCATTATTTATGATTTATCTAATATAAAATACATATTTGTTATCTAATATTTCTGGTATCTGCTCACCCCACACTTTTTCATGAATGAGAAGGAAGATGCATAGAGATTGAAAGAGAATTCACATTGATGAGACAAAGCTGAACATCAGATGCTATTCAGGAGGAAAAACAATGGCATTAACATGCATTAGCCGTATCTATAATTCAAGTCAATAGAATAAGCTTGGTATACGTTTAGAGAAAATTTTCAACGTAGCAGCACTTCAATCGTTATTATTTTGACAGGCCCGTCCATCGCTAATATAAAAATCGGGACAGGAGCAAGAGAACAATACGATCCAACTAAAATAGCTGTCATCATGGGCGTTTCAAGCTCTTTTTTTTTTTTTTTTTTTTTTTTTTTTTTTTTTCCCTTCTCAAAGAAAATTGATATTTCCAACAGAAAATACCACATGAAAGGGCAAGTTGCCAAATAATCAGTGATAGGGTCATACGAGCCTCAAATTAACCCGTTGATGTCCCCTTCCAACATTTTTGCTGTCATCAAATCGGATATACCCACGACTCTCCATGAGCCAAATGATACCAGGCTATTTGCAACGGCCTGTTGGAAGGTTTGAAAAGCAAATGAAGCGGAACAGAAGATCAGATAGAAGGGAGAAGAAAACCAGTAGAGAGAAGAAAAAGGCGCAAAGTATGTAATGTATATAAGCGATATGTATATGACGAGGGGTTTGAATGTGGGAGACGAAAGCATAATAAACAAAGCGAAAAATCAACTAGCCCCCCCCCTGAGACCTACTAACCCGTAGATGAAAAGAAAGAAAGAAAGAAAGAAATAAATAAAATAAAATAAAATAAATAAATAATAAAGTAGATAGACGAACAGAGACACAATACCAAAACAAGACATGCCTGCCAGGGAGAACCGGCCCCAGAAAATGAATCGCTAATAACAAAGAGAAAAAAGGCAAAAGAAGTGAAAGAAGTGAAAGAAGCAATACAATCATTCCCAGCGGAAAATAAAATAGAGGGGAAACGAGCAAGAAAAACGATAAAATATAATTAGCAAATATTTAAGTGTTTCACATTTCCAAGTCAGGTAACCTCCAATCAAGCCTAGGTGGCTGGTTGAAGGTTAGGATAGGCCCCTTATCATTCTTTTGCTCCCGTCGCTCCGCTGATCGCGCCAGAAGCAATCCGCGTAGCGAGGAAGCAGTTTCGGATAACCGGGTGCCTGTGCCGGTTGATGTGCTAGTGGATGTGCTGGCGCTCAAGTTGCTATTACTCTTGCTTGTGCGGATGCTGTTACCTGCAGTCGCTGGGATGGCAAGGCGTGGGAGGGGCGGGGTGGGGCAGGAGTTTGCGGAAGATGTTTGTAGGCCGCTAGATGTGTGGTATTTGAGGAGGGGAGGGCGGGAAGAGCGGGTGTGAGAAGGATCGGGTGTGGATGATTGCTCATCAGTCTTGGCGCTTTGGATGGTAAGCTTTTCGTCATCGTTGCCGTTTTCAAGCTCGCAATTTTGCTCTGCAGTTCGGGTTTCATAAGGTAATGGTTCTTCACTTCGGGTTGGATTGGTCTCATCAAACGAGAGCTGGTTGAGGAATGTACCAAGGCTGGCTGCCGTAGTCGGCCGGCCATCGCTCATCGCATCGTCGTCGGTGCCGTTACTGTATTCATCGATAAGACCATGGGCCAGATTGTAGTTCCGGACTAGATACCGTTGGAGGCGTTGTACTTCAATATCCCATTTCTGGCTTAGCGATTGAAGCACGGCTTGCACATCATGCCGGATGAAGTGGGGTGGGGTGGTTGAGCTAGCTAGAATAGGCGCGGATGAGGCTAACGGCGAGGAGACTGTGGCTGTATGAGGATTCCCCTGTTGTAGCGATGCCGGTGCTGCTTTTGCCAACTTGTTACCCGAGCTTGTACCTCCCCCAGAGACAGCGGCCTGGAGAGTTTTGCGGATAGTAGTTGCTTTAGACCCGCCGGAGTTTGAAACGTTCTGGCTCACGGATTCGATTTCACGACGAACCCGTTCTAGACATTGCTCTCTGTCCCGTACCATTGCGGGAAGATGCAGAAGCTTCTTGTTTTTCTGTAGGCCATTAACTAGTACGGTAAATGACTGGAGATTAATTTCATTATTATCACAGTAAACTTCAAAGAGGGTTCCATTTTCCTCTAACACAGAAGCAAGTGTATTAGCCCCTTGAAGCCCCAGTCTTTGATGTTCAATCTTCAGTACCCTCAGCGAAGTGTTCTTCTTCAGCCCAGTCAAGGCAAGGTTTAAACCAATACCAAACCTAGCAACGTCTAGGTGGGCATATTCACCGCTGATATCTAATTCCTCGATTGTGGTATTTTCTTCGAACATTAGTTGGAGCGCCTTGCACGTTTCCGGGCCAGCATCATATGGCAGAGACGCCTTCGATATGTCGAGATACTTTAATGTTGTGTTTTTCCTCACGGCATCAACTAATTGCCGGAAGTGGTCTTCTTTTTGAAATTCCATCATTCTCATAGTCAGATGAGTTGGAGTCTTATTGTTCGCAATCGCGGTAACTAGGAGGGAGTAGTCCAAATGAAGGCGATTCTCGCTGACGTGAAGATGGATGTTTCGTGGTTTGCCTGAATCACTGGTCATAGAATGGAGAAACACAGCAACGTCTTTTCCTGTAAGGCCACATTGGTCGAGCTTTAAATTTCGAAGTGTACTTGATTTGGAGCTTGCCAGGTATGCTGCGATCGAATCCACAGTTTGTTCATTAACCGCTGTGTGACTCAGGGACAACTCTTCGAGTCGCCAATTTAGTAGTGTTTCTGGAGCTATTAGAGGTTCCGGTCCGGTTGTTCTTGAAATGTGGGTCAGGTTTATCTTTCGGATGTGTGCAAAATAGCCTATTTGCTGCTGGAATAGTTCTGGGCTTAATCTACCCTGAACACCGGAGATATCAATGGACTCCAGAGTGTTCTCCTGAGTAGTGAATGTAGAAAGAATGAGGTCTAGATCATGAATTGATAGGCCGCAATGGCTGATCTCAAGGGCACGGAGGTGGGATGATTTCTGTGACGCAGCATCAACTAGATAATCTAGGTCCGAGTCGCCGAGTTTGATTCCATTTAATACGACCCAATCCACGTTCGTTAGCTGGCGTCGACAAAGGGGGAATATCGCCTCCGGAATTCCGCAACCCGGATCAAGCACCCCCCTGCTCGAGGATGGCTGCCTAGTTAGACAAAACGAGAAATCTAGCTTTCTAAGACGTTTATTCTTCAGACATAGGGCGCGAATTTCCTGAGACAAGATAGACATATTCTCTTGGCCAGGTAGTCGAATAGCAAGGTTGGAACGGGTTGTTGCAGCATCTATATCAATTCCACAGGGGTCGCGTATACTATGAAGAACGTCTAAATTGATATCCATGAACGAGATTGTAACGAAGGACTCATTATACCGTAGCGAGCGCATAACAGCAAGAAGTTCTAAGGCGGAGTACTTGCGGCGGTCCTTGCCGTTTGCGGGCTGTAGTAAACGGAAGCATGGAGCATCATCACAGGCGTAGTCGATTGTATAACGTATGTTTGAGGTGTCGATATCGTAGGCGGCGCAATAAGCAGTAAGAGTGCGGTCGAACCCACCATGATCTTGGTCCACGTACATTAATGGAGTGATTTGATCTTCTATATGTTGAGGAACGTTGAAGGCGAAAGGTTGCTGGAGCCATTCGGGCCTAAGCCATTCCGCTCTCTGTCGTATCAGAACAGCGATCTCGCTCGAGAACGATGACGAAAGATACAAGCCGAAAGGATGACGGAGTGGGACACTGGGAGAACGTTAGTGAGCGCTACAAACGAGGGGTAGTATAAAATCCTGGAACGACACCGCCCAAAAGAAAGGGGGAGGGGGGGGAATAATATATAAATATATATATATATATATAAGAAAATAAACATAAAAATACCGGAAGACTAGCTGGAAGGCATCGTCGCCTCGTTGCATCGATAGGGACGCCAACGTCATCAACCCAAATGACATGTTCATATCCAACTCGGCTAGAGAGGCGACGGAGCCCCGATTGGATGACTTTGGCAGAGGTATTAAATGGATTTTATGGACGCCGATAGCCAGATAACACACATTCGAAGTAAGCTTCGCGAGATCGTCATTCGATGATCTACTACTAGACTTGGCCGACACGCGTTGCACGACCTTGTACATTCGGAAACAATCTGGGTCATAGTCTCGTTCAAGTTCGAGGGCTCTCGCAACGTATTCCACAGATTTTTGGTCAAACATCGGAGGGTCTATAGCTCGGGCTTGCTCTGCTGCTGCACGGATACCCGCTAGCCATAGTCCAGATTCCTCCGGGTCATTAAGCTGCAGCTGCAACGACGATGGTTTGGGGGATCGTTCATCCATATGACAGACCTCAATTGAAAAGTAAGGTCGTCCATCATCAAGCTTGTAGACAGCCACTATAGAGCTCAATGGTATTCCCGACGCAAGGTCCGAATAGGTCGCCAGCTGTGGGTCTTGAAAGGAAGCAATCGAAACCATTGAATGCCGATTCGTGGATGTTGAAGCCAGAGAATTTCGACCCCACGAAGCCGGGATTGAGGGGAAAAGCTCTCCCGCCTTTGACTGGCTCTTGAACCGTACCAAATGCGTATCCGTTAGTACTAGGTACTGACTCTTCTTCCGCCACATGCCGCCTGTTGTTTGGACTTCGCCATGGTGTAGGACTTGGTTGCCCAGGAGGGATTTCAGGGTGGCCAAGCTTGTAGCAAGGTCTTCTTCGTCGCCCGAGGACGCTTTGGAACGGGCTCTTGTCGAGCGCTGGTCGTCATCGATTGAGCCCAGCGAGCGCAAGGACCCAAACACGGATTTTCGCATGGATTTCTGAGAGGATTTCGACCGCGTATTGGTGAACTCATCTGTGGACTGGAAGGCGAAGTTTTCCTGTATAAAGCCGCGAGAGAAATTAGGGACTGAGAGAAAAAACTAGAGAGCCCAAAACCATAATTGGTGGAACGGCTTGGCCATTCCGGGAGGCATCGAGAGTGTGTAATGCCAATATGGTTGGAAATAACATGCAAAATATTTTGTTTCAAAGGGAGTGAAGCAGAAAGGATTAATATTATGGCAAACAGGGACGTGGTGCAATTTACCGTGACAAACAGGGAGCCGCTACTGTAGGGTCGCCCGCTGTTCTTCCGCAACCTTTGCTGCACCCTTGGCGGCTGCAAATCTGAGCGGTGTGCTGTCTCATACCAGCCATCGGAAACAGATCGATCGTGTCCGCGCGGGGTTTTGGCTGGGCCAGCAAAGCCAGAACCCAGTAATCCAGTCCGGCTAAAGAAACTTAAGCTCTTCCTCCGCTGGGCCTTATTATTATTAGATCTCTCCGCCATCGTGGTAGCGAGGGAAGAAAGAGTAGTCCCAAGCAAGAGGAAACGCCGAATAACGGAACCTCGCGGAGATCCAGATTGGGTAGAAAGAAGAGCACAAGTGCAACTCAAGGGAATCGGTGATTGGAGGCTGACCGATAGAGGATACAGAAATTGATAGAGCCAAAAACAAGCGGAGCTTGTGCTTCCAAGCCCCTCAGCCTTCTGGATACACTATCGTCTGGAGAACGTATTATCGAACGACGCTATTACTACTAGCTCATCCAGATCAGCCGATCAACAACAAGCTGGCTGGCTGAGATGCCATGCCGAAAAGGGCGACCTGTCACCGATCGAATGGCGTCCAGTAACACCGTAGAATGGAGGGCGGTGGATTCTTATGCAGTAGTCAGACGGATGAGGTGGCTGCGGGATGTGGTGTCAGTGCACATCAAGAGGCAATCTAAATATGATTCATTGATCTAACATCGGCAGACGGAATATGAGGAGAAGAAGGAGAAGCAAGAAGAGAAGAAACGCAGGTGGGTGAGTTGTCGACGAGAGGGGGTGAAGTCGAGGTTGGAAGGAAAATGTCTTGGATGCGAGCCGAGCAGAATAGGACGATGTTATAACTAAGCAAAGCAGGCCGCTGGATACGGTATCAATACACGCCCTCAATAATACGATACATCTACCATATACTTACTATTATTTTCTCTGCGCAGCGTCTGTCCTCCTGCTCATCGTCATCAAACAAACACATGGCATAAACTGCCGGCAAACGGCATGTCGATCGGCGATTGATCGCTATTCCATTGTTTGAACAATCCTCCGAACCAAGGTGCTGTGTGGCCCTGATAAGGTTACCAAGGTAAGCCGTGGCTTGCGCGATTATTAGTTCCAGAAATACCACCCCAATCATAAGAGACCATACTCCGTATAGTATATATATATATATATATATTATTCTCTCGCCGCTGACACGCCCTGCAGGTATGATTGTCATTACTCCGTACTTTGGGAGAGAGTTAAGAGACAAGTTTTGTTTGTCTGTCGTTGGTTTCCAACATGGACTTCTCTCACACTCAACTCCCCTCCCAATTATGATTCCACATCGTTCACAACAGCTCTCCGGCCAAACAGTCAAGCTCTCTTTGGCCCTTTAAAAGCGTCTCTGGGACGTCCCGCTGTATAGTCATTGTGACGTGATGGCTGCCCCTTAACCCCTGAGCTTCGAGGATGGCTGGCCTTCCATGCAACATCAGCACAATCCTCAATGCTACCTACGTTCTCCATTTTCGACTTAACTCGTTTGCGCTCCGTCTGCTATCCCGCATATGTCTCCGTATTCTTGCCTGATACAGTAAGACGAACGATTGTTTACAGCATCAGAACTTGGAAACAGAAAGATAACTCATGTCATCAAAGGTGCATGTCCAAGTCGACTATATGATGATGACAAAAGGACTGTGCAGTGTATGTATAAATAATCCCATGAGCTATTTGAAATTTATTGCCTGAACCATCAGTTGAGTGCATCTTGAGCGTTACATTGAATGGCAAATAAATATCAAGGACGCGATGCGCGCGAACTACCTTGGAGCACCATGGACGAAGTGACTTGAGCAAAAAATCTTCTCAAAACACACAAACACCTTATCATTATTCAGTCGGTAGATTCTCCGGAGACAGATCGCACTGCTTATACGTGAATGTTGTGTTTTTTATCTACATCGCCAAAACCACCTTCGAAGCAGACCTGTTAGAAATTACGATGGTCGCGGATATCAAAAAAGGTGGCGCATGAATCGGCTAAATGTTCAGAGCTGAAAAATAAGACCAATGTGGGGTAAACCAAAACTTCAAAAGTCAAAACAGGGAAAATGCGAAAACGAAAAGCAGATTCAACGATTTGGGCAAAACTAGTTTTGTGAGGATGGTTGATCTCATTAATCTCGGAGAAAGCTAGCTACGGATTATGGTGGATCACGTGCATGTGAGGCGATCGCTGTGGCAACACGCCTGAGGTGGCGGCCGCTACAGTTTGCATGCTGGCCTTAGGCGCTTTGCATACGCCGCCAGGCACGTCATCATCGACGAGCGCACTATAATCCTGTCGATCTAGAGCTCTTGTCGCCATCGAGTTTGATATTGGGCAAGCTCCATCCAATGGCAAGCCCGTATTGGCGGGAGGTCGAGAACGGGACTGCTTGCGAACCAATCAGGCAACTTGTTGATTTTGCGCGGTTCGCCATCAGGCTCCCCTGTGGCTCCTCTCTCGCGCGTTAGGAGAAGGTTTGGTGGACTGATGGCTTTTTCGGATTCTCAGCCTCCAGGTGAAGCTGCAACTTTGCTTTTTATGACGAAATGATAAGCGAGTATTTAACGTTTGACTGGCGGCTAGGCTAGTGTTCCGACTTAAGGCACCGAATTGACCAATGAACAACAACGGATTCTGATCGCTTCCAAACTCAGGGGAAGGACTTTTATTTATCTCATCAAACATAAAACAGCACAGCGCGCCTTCGAAAGCACCTGTGATCTCTGATAATTATGCCATCGATATCTCTCACAAATAGCCGTTGTTGCTCAACTTTATTTTGCCATTGGAGCTTAAAAAGGTCCACGTTTCGGTAGATCGCGCGCTGGAATTTCCCCTTTTTGTGCTGTTTTTCTTATGGAAGAAGAACAAGAACAACATGGAGAGACGCTTCACAAGTGTATGCAGCCGTGTTTTCTGGAGTATCAGTAGATACTGATAATATATTTGCTCCTCCACTCGATAAGAGGCAAACCCTTTTGGGAAACACAGCCATTCTCAAAATGATACCCATCTCTCTGAAGCTGATTTCCCAAGCACTCCATTTGCTACAACCAACTCCTTCCTCTCCTCACTTGTGAGCTAGTTAATGGTTGTACCGAATTCATCATAAATTAAATCCACCCGTTCGTTGGCCATGCTGATATGCAGCCTTCGCGCAGCTGCTCCATATGTGTATATGGTTGCAAGGCGCACCCAGGAATCGTATCTAGACATCGAAATAGCATCTCATCAAGTCATGCAAATGGTTCAGGACTATCAACCTTTTTTCTCGAAGCTATCGTAATTATTCTAGCCAGAACTAAACTGCCCTAGTGGTCTTGTAACAGAATATATATCGATATGTGGTGGAACACAGCCGACACGATTGAAATAACCTAAGCATATATTTGTTAAGCAAGATCTAGAATGCAGGCTTGGGCGCTGCTGACTATGATGCTTGCCGTTGAGAGCACTGACAGCGGGATTGTCACAAGGGGTGGAAGCAGGCGATTGCAGAAGTTGTCATTTCTGTTAGTTTTGCCTCTCCCTATGGGATAAAAATCGGAGCCGCCGGTATGTCTGTACCCAAGTCAGGAAACACGGTAGAAAATTGGAGATGGGCTAGGAGGAATAATATCTGAATAATGCACAACATTCAGCGTACGTGTAATCCTGGAGACCCTTCCAAAGTTCACAGAATTCTGGCCCTTCTAGACCCGGAATTATGCATTCTGGTTTAAATATCTGAACCGTCTCACAGGACATTGTGCCCAGTCTAATCTTAGATGCGCCTGGAGCAACTAAAACAGGAGCTTCCTTCAAGCTTTTTCTTTCCGTGTCTTGAAAAGTCGTTCCACAAAAGCAACAAGGGAGGAGAAACGCAAAGAAATCTATTTTCATACTTGGCAATGCCGGGAATTCAGAGAGAAAACATGACAAAAGCAGCATTATTCTATAAACAGGAGCAAAAAATGAATAAAAATATATATGTAAAAGCAACACGAACGCCAAAAAGCCAATTAACTCACATGCGAAAGAACCAAACATCGCATAGAGCTTTAAAAAAAAAAGCCGAGGAGGAAATAATAGTGCGATATTAAAGCCGTATGTTATGCTTATCAGAACAGATGGGGTTGCAAATCATGAGGCAAGCAGAGGGCACCCATTGCATATAGTACAGTGTAGTGTAGTGCTGTGTTCTAAAATGGAAGAAAGTAATAAAATGGATAAAAGGGGTAATATAAACATGTTGCCATATATCATCATCATCAAGGGGTAGGTAAGGCAGCAGAAGAATAAAAATATGGGATATGAAAACGCCAGAACACGAAGTATTATTACCCAGAACCCTTTTAAAATACCTTTTGATACATATTTCCTCAGCTCCCGAAGAGCGAACGATGGAAGGCGGCTGTCATATCCACTCTGTTCTATTGTAGAACAATGGTGCCGGTCTCCTGCTCTATTCTATCTTGCCGTCTGCGCCACGCCCTGCCTTCTTGGCTAATCTTCTGCAACTGGATCTGAAAAGCGTTATCCTCGATGGTTTCGTCGTCGTCGAAGTCAAGGCTGAGTTCCCGCCTTCTCTGGCAAGCTGAGTAAATTGCCCACGCGCGTTCTGGGTTGTTGAACGTAGTGAATGTGTACTCCACATCCCACTTGTCTCTGGCAGTGAAAAGCTGTGGCCGCTCGACAGGTCTGCCATTTACCTTGTTGTTGATGGTGATGCTCATGGCAAATAATGGTTTGTTAGCGAAATCCTCGGAAGGCTCAGCGGTGATGTCAGCTGCGGCTTCGCCGTCAGAAACTGTAATTTCTGGCTCAGATGAAACGGGCTCAGTGATTGTTCCTGACGATGCCTGAAGGGAGGTCCCTTCTTGGTCGAGGGCATCTTCACCCTTCTGTTCGAGTTCGTCGGGGAATAAGAGTTTTCTTTGAACAGCTTCAATTTCCGCCTTGTTGCGATTCTGAATCTCTTCAATTTGTTCCTCTGTGACGGGTTCCGCAAAGACATACATGCAAGGTGTTTGTGTCTCCCGCGTTTCGAAATGGAAGCGCAGCGATTGGTTAGGGAATTTTTCGGTAGCCTTAGCCAGAACTGTGTCCCAGAGGGACACACTAAGTTGAAACTCCGCGTCTCCAAGGGCGGTATCTGTTTGGCCGTGAAGGGCCAGATCCATCTCGGGCAAGCTGACATATTGGAAACCGAAGATGCGTTCAATGTTGTGGAAAGCAACAAATATGCCATCCATACGGCCGACGCGAACTTGTAGGGAGTATTTCAGGAACGCTGCGCGGATCATGTCGAAGTACTCGCGCTCGAAAGACTCGAATTTCCCAAATCGACCTTTGATTTGGTATCCGAGTCCACGATCGTAGTGCCTTGTATTCATCCGGATCGATAAAACAGCCCGAGTCTTCAAGTCAAACATGCCGGTGCCTGGAAGGCGGGGGTCGTAGGCATCAAGCTGTGCCCTCATCAAGAAGTTGCCGCAAGTGGTATAATGGTAAGTTTCGGGCGCGACGGCATCAGGTGTAACTTTATCGGTACTCGATCTCCGGTACCGCTCGAATTCTTCAGTGGGCATAGTTAGTAGTTTCTCCATCGACTTGCCCAGGTTCATAAGAATGTTCGCATTGTCATATTCCTTATCCGCATCGATGGCGTAGACCCCATCCTTATAACGCAGAAAGACAGCGGACGGTGCTCGCAAGATCTTTGTGAAGTTCTTTGCCACTTCGGTAAAGCCCTGCGAAATAGAACTAGTATTCAGGGGCCGCCAGGCGGAGAGCAAGTAGTGGAAATGTGACAGAACAGATGTCATGCTTGAAGAGGACCCAATGTATTTCTTGCCATGACGAACGGCCAGCTCGCGCAACCCATCATCCCGCGAAGATGTTATATATTCGTTGAGCGCAGAAAAGTCGAATTCCTTGACCGGCATAATCGATCCCAGATAGGGATCAAAGTTGTACACTCGCGTCCTCGGATCCTGAAGATGGTAAACGCCGGGGCTGTTGTTAACCAGTTAACAGGATGATTTCATGAGCGGAGTTGACATTTACTTACTTGAATAAAGCCCTCTCTAAACCATACGAAAGTCTCGGTACCTCTGCGCCTTCCATGCTAAGAGCTAGAGATCTGTTAGCTATGAAAATAATCACGACGAGGACACGACAGAGGCGAGCGCCTTACGGGTTAATGATACACTTGTCGACTGCAAAATGCCGGTGTGCGCCACACTTGTTGCTTTAGGTTTCTCTTGTTTCTTCCGTAGCGGCTTGGGTGGAGCGGGATCCCCAACTGGCTGCCTGGGACGTCTCGATTGTTGGATGTCTTTAACGGTATTAAAAATCGCACTATCCTGACGGGCACGATGCCGAGGAGACTACGTTCAAGTTAGCTGTTTGAATCTGCGACCTGTTACTTGCGTAAGTGATAGATAAACTCACAAACTGATCGTGTTTAGGTCGACTTGGCGACGGTTTTGTCCTTAGATGTGGAGCAGGTGTATGTACAATGTGTTTCTTGAGCGGTATGTTGTTGCGTGTTTTGCGGACCACGCTCTCTCCCCCTGCGGACTTTGGATTTGCTGGTTCCCTGACATTGTCCGCTCTTCCGATTTTTTTCTGTTTAGTAGCCTTTTTCTTCTGCCTTTTGCCGCTTCCCGGAGTTGTCTTCCATAATAACTAGATATTAGCTTTTGAAAATCCGATTTTCGCCAGTAGGAAAAGATGCGCCGTAGATGAAGGCGAAAGGTTGTGGTCTTATATGGGAAGAAAGGATATGTCACGAATGGCCGCGACTGTATCCTGGGAAGTACTGCTCACCGAGATTGCCCCAATAGGGGGGTATTTTATATTGGCTATCACAGAAGGGTTTGTCGATTCAGAGACCACAGGGACGGTTGTTAGAGAGCGACGAAACGAGCGGACGGCATGGGTACGGAATCCAACTTCAACCAGACAAGGCAAACAGACAAAGCCACACGTGGGGCGTGTGACGGACTTGAGCGATCTCCTAAGCATTCCAGCGGTTGTCTGATAGCGAGAAATAAAGGGATAGGAGTGTTGTATCAAAAATCGTCAATAGAGAGAGGAGGCGAGAAGCAATTTAACCGCGAAAGGAACAAACTGAAAAGAGAAAAAAAAGAAAAGAAAAAAAGAAAAAATAAAGAGAACAGGGAGGGAAAAAAAGAAGAATAGAGGAGCGACCCCTTAGAGACTCGAGAAACGGCAATTGAACCTTACAAGAGGTCCGTTACCAGCAGACTCGAAAAGGCGATAATGAATGGATGAAGCTTGGAGCTGGAAAAGGAAAAAAAAATTCTCGAGATAAAGCGAAAAGACGGAGATGTATCAGTCACGTGAGAATCTAGTTCTTTTTTGGGTTAGGACGCTGAGATTAGCTAAGCACATACAAATCTCTAGAGTTTCAGTTGTTGCTGTGAACAGTGTCTCTTAAATTGGCAGTACGTGTTAATTTACTATATTAAGTATGCCGATAGGTGCTTTTAAACGACCTGAGGTGCTCTATTATTATATCTCTCTACCACACCAGTATCCGTAAGTGTTGACTCAATTTGCCTAGAAGCATAGCATAGTTAACACCCCTTAACTTACGTTACACGTCGGCGAAACGTTTCCCAGTCCCGGCGCAAAAAAGTCCGCAGCCACAAAAAATTCCCACCTGCGGAAAGCAGAAACCATTCGAGGCTTTGATGCCGTGATATATCGCCAATTTGCCGTTTATATTCCCCGATTGTAAGTCAGATCTCTTTTGTCTTGTTACTTTGCCTCGATGCCATTTCATATGTGTTCTCCTTTTTGTTCTGGAGTTTTTCTTCCTTTCGAGGCCCTGATAACCCCACCATGCTGGAAATGTCCCCTCCATGATGCATATGATATCAGCTCAGACCAATGCCAACTGGGGCCTCAAAGTCAATACCGGTACTGATATGTTGATAAGCTACAATGAGGAAGATTTTAATTGCTACTTTTAATATATTTCATACCGGTCTAAATAGTAGATAGGCAATATGCACCCCTCACTCTGACATTTGGGCTAGATTATTTTATGATATGAACATTGGAGAAACCTACTTTGATTCATATTTGGCGTTCTGCTCACCTTCTCATATTGTCATGCTATACATGTATTATGCCTCGATCCTAGTTACCTTACTCCTGCCTTTTAAATTGCACACAGCACATGCCACCAGGGACCGTTTTCTAACTAGAGTTCATAGGCCAAGGGCAGAGAAGCCAACATGCTGCAGGAAAGACTGCGTGTCCTTGTTGTAGGGAGTGGTGGTCGAGAGCATGCATTTGCTTGGAAGCTCAGCCATTCGCCAAGTGTCGATATTGTTTATGTTGCACCTGGAAATGGAGGTACGGCAGCAGGCGACTCCAAGATAACCAACGTCGATATCAAGGTCGACGACTACGCGGGATTGGTAGCGTTTTCTCAAAAGAACGATATCAATCTTGTCGTCCCGGGCCCTGAAGCCCCGTTGGTGGATGGCATACAGAAATTCTTTCAATCCGGTTAGTCACTTCCGCAATCTCACTCAAGATCTTTGAGCCGGCAAAGAAATAGAGAAAAGAGAGAGAAAATTAAAAATCACGGTTAGAGATAAAGAAATTGCAGTAAAACTCAAAATTAACAACATTTGTAGTTGGAATCAGGTGTTTTGGTCCTTCACAGGCTGCAGCACGCATGGAAGGCTCAAAGACGTTTTCCAAGGATTTCATGAAACGCCATAACATCCCAACCGCTGCCTACGAAAACTTCAACGATTATGCCGCAGCAAGTAAATATTTAGACTCCGTCAGCCATGGTGTTGTTATCAAAGCTAGCGGCCTTGCTGCCGGGAAAGGAGTTATTATCCCCCAATCGAAGGAAGAAGCTCAAAAGGCTCTACGGGAAATTATGCTCGACCGACAGTTTGGAGAGGCGGGAGACGAAGTCGTTATTGAAGAATTCCTTGAGGGAGACGAGCTTAGCATTCTTACATTCTCCGATGGGTATACGGTCAGGTCTCTCCCACCCGCGCAAGATCACAAACGCATCTTTGACGGAGATCAAGGCCCCAATACGGGAGGCATGGGTTGCTATGCGCCAACACGAATTGCATCAAAGGAAGTCCTTGAAGAGGTTGACAGAACTGTCATTGTACCCACCATTAACGGAATGAGGAAAGAAGGTAAATCTCGCGGTCCCTCCATCCCCCAAAATAATTCTATTTTCTCGACATATCACTGAACACGAACTTGTAGGTTTCCCATTCGTTGGAATTCTATTCACTGGACTTATGATGACCAAGAACGGACCCAAGGTCCTTGAATATAACGTCCGTGGCGGTGATCCAGAAACACAGACTCTTTTACCCCTCCTGAGCGATGATACTGATCTAGCTGAGGTGATGATTGCCTGTACTGATCATTGGCTTGATGGCGTCACGATAAAAATTGAGCCGAAATTTTCCGCAACCGTAATCGCCGTCGCGGAGGGCTATCCAGGTTCCTACGCGAAAGGTCGAGACATTTCTCTAGCTACACCCGCCGCAGATACCCTAATTTTCCACGCGGGCACTACTCTAACGAACAACCACCTTAAAACTTCTGGTGGCCGAGTTATCGCGGCGACTTCGACAGCCGCCACTCTCGAGGACGCAGTCAAGAACTCCTACACGGGCATCTCCACCATCCATTTCCAAGGGATGCATTACCGCAAGGACATCGCGCACCGCGCCTTCAGATCCACATCCACCACCGCAACCTCCACCTCCGGCGCCGAATCCCTCACCTACGCCGCTGCCGGCGTCTCCATAGACGCGGGCAACGACCTCGTCAAACAAATCAAAGCCAACGTCGCACAGACTCGACGCCCAGGAACCGATGCAATAATTGGCGGCTTCGGCGGCACCTTCTCCCTCTCAACCTGCAACTCAGGCTTCCACCCCTCCTCGCCAACCCTAATAGGCGCCATCGACGGCGTCGGCACAAAACTCGTCATTGCCCATGAAATGCGCACGCATAATACCGTCGGCATCGACCTAGTAGCCATGAATGTCAACGACCTCGTCGTCCAGGGTGCTGAACCCCTCTTCTTCCTCGACTGCTACAGCTGCGGCAAGCTCGACGTCGCCACTGCAGCCGCATTCGTGTCCGGCGTCGCGGCCGGCTGCGTCGATGCCGGTTGTGCATTGGTCGGCGGTGAAACAGCTGAGATGCCCGGGTTATACGTGGGCACGAGTTATGACGCCGTGGGCGCGGCGGTTGGGGCGATCGATACCGCAAAGCGCACAATTCTCCCCGACTTGGAGAAAATGCAGGTTGGCGACGTGCTCCTTGGCCTTGCCAGTAGCGGCCCGCATTCCAACGGATACTCTCTGGTACGAAAGATTGTCGAGCGTTCGGGCTTGTCATACCACGATGTTGCGCCCTTTGAGACCACAGCCTCGTCCCTGGGTGTTGCGTTGCTGACCCCTACACGGATCTATGTTAAGCCACTTCTAGCGGCGCTTGCTACGGCTCCAGGTGCGATTAAGGGTCTCGCACATATCACCGGTGGCGGACTGGTGGAGAATATTCCTCGTGCGTTACCAAAACATCTAACAGCTCTTGTTGATGTGGCGTCATGGTCTTTGCCGCCGGTGTTTAGATGGCTAAAGAAGACCGGTAGGGTTACAGGGGCGGAGATGGGGCGGGCGTTTAATAACGGGATTGGCATGGTTATCGTTGTTGGGAAGGAGAATGCGGAGCGTGTGAAAAGTCTGTTGGAGGAAAAGGGAGAAAAGGTGTTCGTTGTTGGAGAGTTGGCTACGCGTGGAGAGGACGAAGGCTGCGTGTTGAAAAATTTGGAGAGCTGGGAGTAAATTTTGATGTTTGGTTGTTTGGTTACGGATTTTGTACGTCGTTTATGACTTTCTCTTTGATAGGTCTATTTTATCTTTCTGTTTAGTGCTCGGTACATTGACTGTGTAAATTTTTTAAAAGCAATACACTACATTTGGCTATTGGGCCGCTCACTTCCCCTCCTCTTTGATAAGTTAGTATGAACTCGAAGGCCCTACCCATGCTTATGCATTTATAGTCGGGCGCGTTTACTTTAATTGGCGCATACATCACTTTATTTCAACCTCTTCTTATTACGATAATCCCGCGAAAGTAGACAAATACCTACTCACAGTTATTCTCCCTCATCAACAGACTGTAAATTATTAAGGTGGAATATTCGTAAATCAAACTACGATTCTTTTTTCCTAGGATTTAAGTGGATATTCAATTTCGTTTAACTCAACAAATCATAAAGAAGTTAAATATGCAATCACGCAAGGGGAAAAAAAGGATCAAGTTCAAAGGCAGCTCAAAGGTGTGCAGCAGCAAGAGAAATGTTGAAAGGAGAAGAGGCACATTATCATAGCAGGAGTGATCAACTTTTTCGATTTATCGTGCCCGCTCGAGAAAGGAACTTAAGCAAGAATAAAGCGAGAAGTGTAGATAAAGGCCCGAAGTGGGGAAGGGATATTCAAAAGTCAAAGGATCAAGGGAAGGAAAAGGCATCAAAAACTAAATATGAAGTGCTCAAAGAATCGTAAATTCATTGGCAGGGCTAGTGAAACTGGGACAGATGGCTGAAATGTTCGCAAAGAGAGTCAAATTCAAAGAATAATTTGTTGGGAGGGCGTTTGAGTATTCTCAATGGCCTCTCATGATGGCACCAGTGCGTGGAGAGCCGGATGCATCGAGAGGAAACGGGCGAATCAGGCGTAGCGAACAAAAATGAGAATAGGGTTAAAAAAAGCAATGGAAAATTCGTATCCCATCAGTCAAAGCGTTGCGCAGGAGGATTAATGTCCGTCTGGCCGGGGGTCATGTTCAGGGCACCACTCATAAATGTACTCGACGTTCCAGTCTTCTTGTACACAATTGGGGTGTCTCGAACACGGCCCATCGATAGGGGTTCTGCTCTTCAAGCAGAAGCACCTATAGTAAATAGTGTACATCCTGCACATGATAGCGGATTATGTGGAAAACGGTGTCTCCGAGAGAGAGAAATGGAACCCCTATTCCGGATCCTCCAAGTAGAAGCTCTGATAGTTTTGACTCTCTTGACTCACGACGAATCTCACACAAGGAGCAGATTTTGTCAAACTCAGTAACTTCCTCAGAGTGAGATCAAAGGCTACCGGTATTACAGTCTTCGAAATCGATGTGCTTACATCCACACGTGTGACTTAATATCAAAATGCTTGGCACATTTAATATATTATATCGAAGTGTAATATCTTGAATGGCCGCACAAATTGTTGGCTTGAGGAAAACGACCGATTAGCTGTGCCTACAAACAACGCCAGCAGCGTATTTCAAG